TTGAACTGCAACTCCCAGAAACCCCAGTCAGGACAGCTGGTGGTGAAGGCTTCTGGGAGTTGCAGTCCAAAACTCCTGAGTAACCTAAGGTTAAGAACCAGTGGTGTACCTGATCAGGATGCTTTAAAACAGCCGCTCACCTGGGGTGAATAATACGAACCTCCAGGCAATCACATAGAAGATTCTTGTTCATATTTTCATCATTCATTCAAGTTTGTGATGTGTTGTAAATTAGGTGCCTTACTGGGATTTGTGACTGAAGGATCTAATAATTTTTTGTGGCCTTCCGCAAGCCTATTTGCAACATAATGCTGTAAAGCTTTTTAAATACAATCCTTGTGTTTTGCATCAAACTTTCCAGCTGTTTCTCTCTTCTGCCCGGCTTCTTGCCCTTTCTCTCTCCCTCTTTCCTTGATGACCCCAAAACTATTTTGATGCGCTAGGTTAGGAAAATATCGGTCTGGGATGACTTTTCAATAGTTATCTGCCACCCCCTTAATTCTCAAGTGAAAAATTTATCTGTTTGGGGCTTGGGAAGGTTAGTCTGGTGGCTAGCCGTTTAGTGTTTATTCTTGAGCCTGGATGGCTTCTGAATATCCGGGAATTTCTCCGAGCTCAGCAAAACTGTGGAAGGTTTGATTTGCCTGGGGTCCATTTTGTATTTATTTTCATAATGAGTTATGTTCCCCTCTCAAAAACCTAATTGTTATCTTGTGCCACATCTCGGTTGTGGATTGTCGAATGGCACCATTTATCCCTTCATTCCTGAGGAGTCTGGTTTCCCTGCGACTATGGTTTGAGGTCAGAAACGCTCCAACGTTGTGGTTTCGCTAATTGCTTTGTTTGTGAGCCGAGGCTTGGCAGAAAGACTGAAGAGTCAGAGGCCACTGTGCCCCCTCTAACTACTAGGCATCCCAATCTTCCTGACACTGGGAATATGAGCTCAGAGCATCCTTCATGCCATGTACTGAAAGGGGTTTTCAAAACGTCAGTGCCCAAGTTTTCTTTTTCTAAGACAAATCTCTCTCTCTTTCTCTTTTTCCCCCCTTTCGTATTTTATTTTAACAGGTGCAAATGGGAAGAAAGCAAGATGCGTCCAAGACACTCGTCTGCACAGCTTGGAAAAAAGAATCCTCGCCACAAGTATCTTGCAAAAATATCATTTTTGGATGGCTGCTTCTGGAATGTTCCAGTCATCCTGACCACTGGCTGGCTTTTGGGATTGGTAAAACAAAAATAAATAAATAATTGTAGCTAATTCTGCACATCTGTCGGCAGGAAGAAATATCTTGTGGTTTTCCTTGTTACGGCCGTAGTAGCTGAAGTTGTGCATACATTTTCACTTGTGCCTTTTTGGAACCGGAGGCCACAATCGCACAAAGCTTTGTTTAAACAACGGCTTGGAAGAGACTTGGATATTTTGCCTTTCTGTCTCCGTGTTACTGTCGACAGAAAGTTGTGTGGGATGGATCTAAGTTCAAATTCCATTTCCACCCTTCAGCACATTTGTTGATGAGACTAATGTTATTCCTGGGAGCAAACAGAGAATCTTTGCCCCATGGCCAGCACAGGGACAGTTGAGGGAGACACGAGAAAGAAAGGGTCTTCTCTGTGGTGGCTCCCAGTTATGGCATGCTCTTCTTTGGGATGTTCGTTTGGCCCCCTCCCGTTTTATCCTGCTGACAGCCGAAGACCCATATTTTCAGGCAAGCTTTTAACAATCCTGATGGAGACCCTGAATGTCTTTTAAAAGTTAATGTTTACTTGCTTTTAATTATCCAATTGTATTTTAATTATAGTTTAATTGTTTTTTTTAATATTTAACTTATGTTTTTAATTCTATTCTTTTTAATATTGTGAGCTGCCTTGGGTCCCCTTATTGGGAAAAAGGCAGCCTATCAAACGAACCAATAAACGAACGAACAAGCAAATGAACGAACGAAGACAAACAAACAAACAAACATTGTCCACTCCCTGAAGATTAGCTAGCGTAGGTTACCAGTTGTTTCACTGCTGGAATTTCATTTCAGCCAAACTTTAGTATTGGATTCCAGTCAACCTGACATACCTCATAGGACTGTCGTGAAGGCTGGCAGGAGGAAGAACAGAGTCTTGTACTTCATCTACAATGCATTGACGGGTGGGGAGGGGATATAAATGCAATTAATTAATTCATTAGTTATACAAAAGTACCCAGTAGAAGTCTCCCCATACTAGTAACTGGAAGGCACATTTCAACTCTGCTGTCTTCATCTTAGAAGTTTTTCTTCACTAAGAGAAAGGATGGAAGAGAAAGTGGCAGAAAAGCAAAGGAGGAGCATGAAGGAAGGGGGGGGCAAAGACTTGTAAATCTACACCATAAAAAATAAGGGATTCATCAGGGTGAAGCCAGAGGGGTAAACTTGGTTTGGAAACACCATCAGGACAGCTCCTGGGTTGCGCAGGCAAGGAGAAGAGGTGTGGGGGTGTGGGGTTTTTTTGTTTTAGTTTTTGTTGGGGGGGTATCTTCTGTGACTAAGGCCAAGGACTATCTTGGCTGAAGGATCTGGGGGGGGGTTGTAGTCCAGAAAGTAATTTTCCCAAGTTCTGCCCCTTCTCTCATCTGTGCACAACACACACACACACACACAGAGAGAGAGAGAGAGAGAGAGATGGGTACTCAATTGACTGACCTCAGAAGAATGGAAGGCTGAGTCAACTTTGTGCCGGCAATCAGAATCCAACAGGTCTGACCTCAAATTGTGAGCGGAGGCTTGACTGCAGTACTGCAGTTCAACCACTGCCCCTCAGGCTTCATACTCTGGAACAGAGGGCAACATGGTTCCAACAGAGTCATCCACTCAGGTCTAGTGGTATGTGAAAACCACTTTATAAATGAAAATGAGATTTTCAGATTTCCTATCAAAATGGAACGTTCACAGTTCCTATTAAGACTCACCTTTAGTATATGTATGTATGTATGTGGAGAGGATAGATTAAAATTGAGATAGGAACTCTTCCAATCAAATGTGCTGTTTGTTTGTTTCTTATACTTTTACCCCACCCTTTTCCTTAAAAAGGACCCAAAATGGCTTACATCATTAAAAGACAATATTTAAAGCTAACAACGACAATACAAATATTAAAAAGGATCAAACAAGCACCATACTAAAAAGCGGTAAACAAAGGCAACACCAAAAACACATACAAGGCAGTAAGGCATGACAATCCATTAAAAAAATTAACTCAGATAGCCAATCACTCAGAGGAAGCTTGCCTGAAGAGAAAGGGCTTTAGAACCAGCACTTTCAATTGTGTCTGGAAATGGATTGGCAGCTGATGGAGCTGCTTTAACAGGAGGGTTATGTGATCCATGTGATCAATTCCGTTATTTCAGTATCACTCAGGAACCTCTAATAAGAAGACCCCTAAGAGTATGTGTGCATATGTGTGTGTGTGTGTGTGTGTGTGTGTGTGTCTTTGTGTGTGTGAGCAGCAAATCTGCACCTGGGGGGAAAATGTATTGTCCAAAAACTGAAAGAAGTGCAGTTGTAAAAAAAATGGGGAAAATTAGGTACATGTTACGCAGGAGGGTTTGTCATGAATTTAAACAGCAGGTAAGCAATGACTGGATGAATTGCCACAAGTTAAGAAGTTTTCAGAAGGGACGTGGTGGTGCTGCGGGTTAAACCACAGAAGCCTCTGTGCTGCAAGGTCAGAAGACCATCTGTCATAAGATCGATTCCACATGACGGAGGGAGCTCCCGTCGCTTGTCCCAGCTCCTGCCAACTTAGCAGTTTGAAAGCATGTAAAAATGTGAGTAGATAAATAGGTACCACCTCGGTGGGAAGGTAACAGCGTTCTGTGTCTAGTCGCGCTGGCCCCGTGACCACGGAAACTGTCTTTGGACAGACACTGGCTCTACAGCTTGGAAACAGGTATGAGTACCGCCCCCTAGAGTCGGACATGACTAGACAAATTGTCAGGGGAACCTTTACCTAAGGAGTTTTCACAGGTATTATTTAACAGCAATTCACCTCTAGAAGTTATGCCACTTGTGTAACTGCACAACAGGATTTCAGCCGGTGTCTCCATTGTAGAAAAATCATCATCATCTTATCATCATCATCTTAAAACTGCAAAACTAGAAGGGACCCTATGGAGACACAGTGGGGAATTGAACACCCAACTAGATGCTGAAGCCACCGAGCGATCCAGCAGTCCTATGAATGGTTTCTTCCTGCTACAATGGGCAACCCTCAAACCGACAAGCTCAAACACCAAGCAAATAGATTTTGCTGAAATGTTAGAATCGTTCCCCATGGGAAGCACTATTTGAGGGAGGAACTGCCCACAATAGGAGGTTATGAGGTTTTTAAAACAGCGCCGGATGCCCATTTCTCCAGGGATCCTCCCACTTGTGACCCTCGTGGACCAGCTGGATGTCCCTGGAGACTCTTCTACAACTCTATCATTCTGCGTTTATTTTTAATGTCAAGTGTTTGACAGAGCATGTATGCTGCTAGACTATCTGTTTTGGAAAAAAACACAACCGCTGAGCCTTGTTAGGCAGCCAGTGGGAAGATGTGCCAGTGATAAACCCAACCTTTAACAGATCTGCCGCCTCTGGAATCAATTAGCTGGTTGGGTCGGGGACCGTATAACGCACTAGCCACTGATTCAAAAATCTCAGACTTTCAATTACTGGCGTGGTGGATTTGAAGTGGATTATGATTAAGACTGATGCAATGCGGCTCCTGTTTGGGGGCCGTGGGTTAATGGGTTAAGTCTGTTTTGAGCAGTGGGGGGGGGCTGTGGCAGCCCTCTGCAAAAAAACCTGATTGAGCAATGGTTTGTGGGCAGTGGACGCTCCCTCTAACCACAGGTCTTCTGGACGCTCCATCTTCCAAAGTATGTACACACCCAACTTGGGAGTCTCTCTGTGAACTGGCACCAGCTTCCTAGCATTTTGATCACAAACTGGAAGCCTCCGAACATTCCAGATGCTGAGGAACAGAAGGTGAGGAAAGGAGCGGATCAGAAGAGAGGGGATAAAAGGTACGGCTAGCTTGGTTTTTCTCTTTGTCGGAAGGACGATTTTCCTAGGTGTTCCAAAAGTGTATAGATCGGGATGGTATCTTTGTCTGGAGGCAGTGGGTTGCAGTGGTTAGAGAGGGGTGCAGTTGGTTGAGGGCACGCAACTCGTTGAGTAATTTCAGGCTCATCGTACTTTGCCAGATCTGCCCCCACAGGATGGCAGGGAAGGGAAAAAGGAAGGAGGAAAGATATAAAGATGGGCTAGAACTCACTGCAGGAAAGGCAGGTCATAAACAAACAAATAATTAGACAAATAATCTTTATTTTCATGGTGCTCATGTAGCTTTCTTTCTCCTTCTCCTTCTGTGGGTTAGGCCAAGATGATAGCCCAAGGCCCTCCAGTGGCTGAGTGGGGATTTGAATGCAGGTCCTCCTGTTTACTGTAGGTAAGGGGTAAAATGCCTCTGTAATAACATGATCTAAAAGTCCATATCACTCACCCGGACCAATGATTTGGGATTATGGAAGTTGTTATCCAGAATATCTGGAGGGTCCCTGGCTGCCTGCTCCAGTCTTAATCTAACACTTTAACCACACTGCCAGAAGTTCTGTCCCCATTAAACTCTCAGAAGCCTACTAGAGAGACAACTTGTTTACAGTTTTATGTACAATATGGCAAAATCAATGTAGGAAGGTTTTGAAGAACACATGAGTTTTGTTGTTGTTTTAAATAGCCCCCAAATACAGATATTTCTTTCCAGGAAAATAAGGGGTCAGCAGATTCTGAGCAAACCGTGTTAGCGATCTGGCTTCCAATTTTGCATGTAACATTTAAAGGGACCACGGAAATACAGAAAGGGAGCGGTGGCTCCTTAAGGACAAACTGTAATCGATAAAGGCTTGGGCCAAATATGATGAATCCTACAGGACTATTTTTGCAGCCACAGACTATCCTGTCTGCCTCCTGATCTGGAGATGTCCAGGATTACGTTGTGACCACAGTGAGCTGTTTTTTGTTTGTTTGTTTGTTGTTTCTGTACAAGAAGAAAAGGGTGGCAGGTGAAAGAATGGTGCATAGACCTCCATACCTAAAGAAAGAAAGAAAGAAAGAAAGAAAGAAAGAAAGAAAAGAAGGAAGGAAGGAAGGAAGGAAGGAAGGAAGGAAGGAAGGAAGGAGCTGATGATGGATACACTGAAGGAAGAAAGGAAGAATAATGAAGGAAGGAAGACAGGAAGGAAAGGGAGGAAGAAAGGGAGTGAGGGAGGGAGTGAGGGAGGCAGTTACAAGAAAGTAGACTTTGGATAAGCATTACCCTTTCCACTGATGAAGCACTTATCTAACAAAGCAACCCACTGCTTTGGTGGATGGCAGGCTTGCCTTCCCTTAAGGTACTGAAGAAGAGGTAGCATAGACATCGATTGGGGTGCTGTAGCTATAGACCTATGGTTCCCAGCCTTAGGTTCCCAGAGGTTCTTGGACTAAAACTCCCAGAAGCCTTCACCACTAGCTGGGCTGCCCAGGATTTCTGGGAGTTTTAGTCCAAGAACATCTGGGGTCCCGAGGTTGAGAACCACTGCTACGGACCATGGATTGCAGAAGGAGCTAGATTAGATGGACTTGGAGGGAACTTGTGAGTCTGTGGTTCCACAATGATTCATTGTGACCTGTGGCAATGAGGTTGCTCTTGTGACATGTGAGACCTATCTGTCCATATTTTTTTTACAGTGACCTTCTGAGCAGTTAATTTCAGAAGCCTAAAAGCGGACATTATTTGGATAAAGTCAGAAGGAGTCAGAGAGATGGTATTGTGAATTTTATGAAGACTCTCCCCAGGCCCCCATCCAGGGTCAAATCTCAGTGGTGCAAAAACAGGAAGGCTTACCTTTGGGGTCTACCAATTGCAGAACTGTGCTGCTAGCATGGTGCCTGGCTGAGAGACTTGGAAATGATAGACCCCAGCAACTTTTCACTTCTGAAACCCTGAAACCTATGGCCCTCCCTAAGATTCTTTTTAAAGGTCATTTTAAAAAAATCCCATTCTTTCTCCATGCTCATAAAGCTCTCCTGTGACCTTCCCATCAATCCTGTAAGGTAGGCCAAGCTAAAAAAGGAGATGGCTGATTCGAAGTCACCCAAGGAGCCTTGCAGCTAAGGGCGAAACTATGCCTCTCCTGTCGTGCACTGATGCTCTAAGCCAGTGGTTCCCAGCCTTTGGGTCCTCAGAGGTTCTTGGACTAAAACTTCACAGAAGCCTTCACCACTAGCCGTGCTGGCCAGGATTCCTGGGCGTTGTAGTCCAAGAATATCTGGGAGGAACATCTGGCCAGTGCTGGATTGATGGACCGTCACCCCAGCCCAGAATGGTCCCTCCCAGTCACTCAAAGAACATTCAGCATGTGATGCTGTAAAAACTCCAGCATTATTTGCACATTATAAACATAAGGTAAAGTTAAAGGTTCCTCTTGACAATTTTTGTCCAGTCGTGTTCGACTCTAGGGGGCGGTGCTCATCCCCGTTTCCAAGCCATAGAGCCAGCGTTTTGTCCGGAGACAATCTTCCGTGGTCACATGGCCAGTGCGACTTAGACACGGAACGCTGTTACCATCTCACTGAGGTGGTCCCTATTTATCTACTTGCATTTGCATGCTTTCGAACCACTAGGTTGGCGGGAGCTGGGACAAGCGACGGGCGCTCCCTCCGTCGCGTGGATTCGATCTTACGACTGCTTGGTCTTCTGACCCTGCAGCACAGTCTTCTGCGGTTTAGCCCGCAGCGCCACCACGTCCCTTATAAACATGGTTCTCTTTTATTCTATATTGTAGTAATCATACAAATTCTTTCAGTGACAACCCTGCCCCGCCAGGCTCTTGAGTTGATTTATGGAGCCATGTGCTAACTCAATTGAGTAATATCATCTGACGGAATTTCTTAGAGCATAGGATAGCTTGCAAAAAAGTAATAACTATTTCTATTTTGTAGCATGTATCTTATATGCACAGTACAAAAGAACTGGTCCCCTCTGGCTGGTAGCCGATGGCTGTCTTCAGGGCCATTATCTATACAAGAGACGTGAGTCTTTCTGGCACACAGGGATTCCGACTCTTGAGAAAAAGAATTTTCACAGCACCTTTTACTAAGTTCAAAATATCCGGGGATCTTTGTTCTGAAAGAGAAGCCAGCTCCATCGAGCTGGTGGCACCACAACCAGCTTTGTTCGAGATGCAAGAAAGATGCTAGGCAGATGCACAGATGTGTAGTGCTTTCAGACTATAGGAACTGGAGTAAACCCATCCTGGTACATTAAATCTGTGCTGCTCTGCTCCCATCTTGTGGCTAAATACTGCATAGCTCTTTCACATGGACTTAAAACTGGTTGGTCTGAAACCTGCACCAAAGGCAGAGCAGAATCCCCCGGACTGTGGATCACAACAAGGGAACTGTGGTTGGCATTGTCGGACACAAGCGTCTCAGTGCTGATTTCTGGACTCACTGGCCTTGTTGCTTCTCTTTCCTGTAGCTTTTGCCTGCTTATCTCTCTCTTCCAAATAGAGATGGGCCTGAAACAAACCAAGAAGCAAAGAAACCCCCCTCAAATCAGGCTGTTTCGTGGTTTGTTTTGGGATGGTTTGGAGAAACACACCTGCCTAGAATGAAATGAACTGCTAAACTATTATTGGCATTGGTGGTTTGTACATAGCCTATGACTTGGATATCCTAGATCCAGTCTTCACCAAACTTGGCCTGACTCTCGGGCTCACTCTCCTCCCAATCCCCTCCAGGTTTGGAGAAGATTGGATTTGGGACATCCAAATTATAGCATCCAGAAGCAGGCTCCCCCCCCGCCAAGAGAGTGTTCTCTAGAGAGCTTTTGGCTAAAGGTGGCCTGGTGGACCACCTCCAAATTTAGAGGAGGAGGGGAGGAGAGTCAGCTGAAGACTCTCTATGGGTTTAGTGTCTCTAACTTATACATGAACCCTTCTGTCCTGGAAGTCCAGAATCACACAAAACCATGAAACAATTCATTTTGTTGGAAAGTTCGTGAAAGTTTTTCGTTTGTGGTTCGAGCTTTTGGCTAAAGGTGGCCTGGTGGACCACCTCCAAATTTAGAGGAGGAGGGGAGGAGAGTCAGCTGAAGACTCTCTATGGGTTTAGTGTCTCTAACTTATACATGAACCCTTCTGTCCTGGAAGTCCAGAATCACACAAAACCATGAAACAATTCATTTTGTTGGAAAGTTTGTGAAAGTTTTTCGTTTGTGGTTCTTGGACAGCAACAAACCATGAACCATCATGAACTTCCGTTTTCTCTGTGCCCATCTCTATTTCCAAACCAATGAACAGTAGGAGAAGGAAGGAAAAGTGGCAGAATTCAACTTGGCTCGTCCTAGCCTCTCCTTCCTTGTAGATCAGGACCAAAGCGGATTGCAAGAGAGTAGTATTACAGTTATTCATCATTTTGCCTAGTGCCTCCTAGAATCTTTGCAATTTGAAAAGTGAAATCCAAGTTAAGAATCCTCATTGTTTCTTTAAAAAACAAACAAACCCAAGCACTACATGGATATTCTCTGAGAAGGGCCAAGAAACTGAGGAATAATGTATTTGCAAAGGTTTTCATGGCTGGGATCTAACGGTTGTTGTGGGTTTTTCGGGCTCTTTGGCCATGTTCTGAAAGTTGTTCTTCCTAACATTTCGCCAGTCTCTGTGGCTAGCATCTTCAGAGGACTCTGTGCTCTGGTGTAGTTTATTTGCGAGTTGAATATTTATGGCTGTGAGATCAGCTTTTATCATTTTCAGGAGATGGGTGATTATGGTGATCAGTGTGTTTTTGTTGTGGGTATATTGTTGTGATAAGGAGGAGAGATTAGCTGTCTCTGTGATTGATGGGTGTCGTTAGCTGGTCTATTGTGTGTAGTGATCCTTGTGGCTGGGTGGAGTTTGTTGACCTTTTGCAAACTGTATTTTTCAGTGCTGGGACCCAGGTTTTGCTGAGGTTCAAACTTTCTTCTTTCTTGTTGAAGTTCTGCTTCCATAATTCATTCGACATCTTTTCCAACAGGTTCCTTCCCTTCAAAATGGACCTCAATGACACTTCTGAAGAAAGCCTTTATGGAGACTACGAGGTCTACGATGATTTTGATGCGGCTGCAGATCTCCGCGACTCCATGCGTGTACTCTCTATGGTGGTCTACAGCATCGCCTTCCTGCTGGGAGTGACAGGAAACAGCCTGGTCATCTTTGTCACCGGTTTCCGGATGAAGAGGACGGTCACCACTGTCTGGTTCATCAACTTGGCTATCGCTGACTTTGTCTTCACTTTCTTCCTCCCATTGAGTGTGGCCTACATGGCTCTTGGCTTCCACTGGCCCTTCGGGAAGGCCCTTTGCAAACTCAGCAGCGCGGTGGCCTTCCTCAACATGTTTGCCAGCGTCTTCCTCCTCATGGTCATCAGCATGGACCGCTGCATCTCTGTGATGTGTCCCGTCTGGGCCCAGAATTACCGCTCCCCCCGACTGGCATCCCTGGTGGCTTTGGGTGTCTGGATAGCATCTCTGGCACTCAGCTCCCCATATCTTGCTTTCCGGGACACCAGGCCCTCTCCTGTGGAAGAGAACACCACCCACTGTTATAACAACTTTGCCTTGTCCAGTGACCTTCATTCAGAGGAAATGACCAAGCTGGGAGAGCGACGGCACCAGGCCATGGTGCTGATCCGTTTTGTAGCTGGATTCCTGGTGCCTTTTACTATCATCCTGATCTGTTATGGTATCATCATGACCAAGCTGAAGGGAAACCGGATCACACGCTCAAGCAGGCCCTTCAAGATCATGGTGGCCGTGATCTTGGCCTTCTTCATTTGCTGGTTCCCTTATCATGTCTTCTCCTTCATGGAGATGTCCGTGTCCATGGTCACACCTTGGCTACAGACAGTGCTGGTTGTGGGCATCCCCTTGGCTTCGGGTCTAGCTTACATTAACAGCTGCCTGAATCCTTTCTTGTATGTCTTTGTGGGGCAGGACTTCAGGGAGAAGCTGCAGACCTCGGTGCTGGCAGCTTTTGAGAATGCCTTCAGCGAGACTTCAGCCCAAGTGCTGACTAAGAGCAAATCCAGTATGGAGGTGGACTCTCATCTAGTCTAGAGCAAGAGCTGGCAGATGTCAGGCTTATGGGACATCCTATACTATCTGTCCCCAATTCTTGCACTCCGTCAACTAAACAAGGACTTTGAAGGGTACAGACAGATGAAAAAAAGGCAGATCTGAGCATGAAACATTTTTTTAAAGGAATTGGCCTAAGTTATTAATGACTACATACCACATACCTTAATTAGGCTCTAATTAGGTACTCACAGCCTTTAATAGTTAGAGATCATCTGTTTTGTGGGGGGGGGGTATAAGCAGCTCTCTAATTAGGTACTCACAGCCTTTAATAGAGGTCATCTGTTTTGTGGGGGGTATAAGTAGCTGATCCATTCTGAAGGAAATCAATCCTGAGTGCTCACTGGAAGGACAGATCCTGAAGCTGAGGCTCCAGTATTTTGGCCATCTCATGAGAAGAGAAAACTCCCTGGAACAGACCCTGATGTTGGGAAAGTGTGAAGGCAAGAGGAGAAGGGGACGACCGAGGATGAGATGGTTGGACAGTGTCACAAAAGCTACAAACATGAATTTGACCCAACTCCGGGAGGCAGTGGAAGACAGGAGGGCCTGGCGTGCTCTGGTCCATGGGGTCACAAAGAGTCGGACACGACTTAACGACTGAACAACAATAAGCAGCTGAGAAGGTATGAAAAGAGTCTGAGACATGGCCAGGAGAAGGGGAGCTAAAGATAGCACCAGTAGCAGCCATAGGGCTTGGGAGGCAATCCCGTTTTAAACTGCCCAGTTGAAGCACGACACTGCCATTACCACGTGAGTTGGCCAGAAACAGAACAAGCTGACCACAAGTACATGGTGTACATATGTGTGAAAGAGGACATGGGATGATGAGATGGGTGGGGGGACAACCAGAGGAAAGCCAGCTGGAAATGAAGGTGGAGAGATTTGAAGAAGCAACAACTCGAAGCATGCAATGGATAAGCGGTTGTTTTTCTCCCTCTTTCTCTGTTTGTGTCTGTCTTTTTAAAACAACATGGGATTTCCAGATTGAACCATGCTCTTTACAGTGGTGCCTCGCTTAACGATTTTAATTGGTTCCAAAAAATTCATCGCTATGGGAAAACATTGCTAAATGAAACGTGTTTTCCCATAGAGATGCATTGAAAACCAGATAATCCGTTCCAATGGGAATGGATTGCCGTCCTTAAGCGAAAATCGCCATAGGAAACATCGCTAAGCGAAACGCGGTTCCCCCATTGGAATGCATTGAAACCTTTTCAATGCATTTCAATGGGGGAGAAAAAAAATCACCAAAAATTCAAAAAGAGTCAGAACGAAGTCAAATTAGTTTAACAAAGGGTTTATTAAGTGCACTAACGATTTCAAGCACTTTAAATCCTTTCTAAACAATTTAACACCTTTTAAAAATAGTGAAAACGGAGCTGTCAAAAACATCGCTAAGCAAAACAGGGGGACCTAAACTGTCATCGCTAAGTGAAGCAAGGCCCCAAACATCACTATGCGAAATTCCCCCAATGGAAACATCGCTAAACGGAGCACAAGATTGCTCATAAAACCTCATTGCTAAGTGAATACATCGTTAAACGAGGCAATCGCTAAGCGAGGCACCACTGTAATTCTTTTTGAATTCAAAGTGAGTGGGAATGTAGTGGATTCAGCTCACAAAGGAAAAAGTTGCATAGGCATGAAGGCATTGAAAATATTTCAGATTAAGAATGCTTAATTAACTTTTCCAAACACCATTGTGTATACAGCAAAAAAGTTGATCATACTAAATTTGTATTCAATCCAATCTGTGTGTGCACCAGAGATGATGATTCCCCTTCGAACACCAAGTGATAACGCGCCATTTCCCAAACCAAAGTTAAAAGGATCTCCAAACACAAGTGAATCAATGTGATATGCTAAAATGCAAATCAGGACTCGGTGAACTGCTAATAATTCTCTAAGTGGGTTGGCCGCAGCTGGAATGATGAACAATTAAAATACTTGGCTGGTTGGAAGCCTTTTCATGCCAAAAGGGGAGGCTGCTGTCATCTCCATGGTAAGATCTACCCTGAGGTTTGTCTGTTCTGTTTCCCCATGGCTTGGCAACCATGGACAGGCGGTTATTAGAAGTGGTATATGGGAAACAGGAGAACATTGCCAGGTCAGATCAAAGGTCTGGCTAGTTCTGCACTGCGATCAACAAGATGCTTTGAGGCAGCTTACAGGCAAAAACACAAGAGAACGCTCCACCACCTGCTGTCAATATTCAGCAGCATCCTCCTTTCTCACAGCCTGGACATTTCCCTTAGCTGTTGATAGATTTCTCTTCCTCTATTAATTTGTCTTTTCCTGTTCTGGGGAGAGGCAAGGAAGCCACTTAGCCTTAAACTCAGATTTAGATTTAGGATGTTAATTGCAAATGAATGAATGAAAGATGATGTGCTGTCAAGTCAATTCTGGCTTATGGTGTTTCCTACATAGGCTGAAGTCCTGTTGCATGAGTTAGCCCTGTGAAAGGGTGATGACATGGTTGGCAGAATGCAATTTTAGCTAATTAGAGATGTTTATCCCCTAGCATGTTCAACATGTGATTAATCCATTTTATTATGTGAAACCATGGGATTACCCCCAGACCTCCACCACTGGATGCTGTTACTGGTAGAGAATGAGTCTCACTAATCAAAGACTTCCTCCTTCTGTCCTACAGGTCCTACAGCTTCCAATGTAATGGAACAGATTCCTTTGAAATAGCCATGGGAAAGGAGGAAGTCTTTAATTACAAAAAAACAAACAAAAACAAAACAAAACAAAAACTACACCTTGGTGATATCATCACCCTCCTGCAAGTGTAACTGATGCCAAAGGATTACTTCTATATATTCAGAAAAACTGCATGTTAATTTGTTAAACACAGATATTTAAGTTTTATCACAATTTTTGTAAGCCTGTTTTGGTATTTCTCCATCATTTGAAATATAAAGAGCTTCAACAAATGTAAGTGGTCTAAGACTCTCTCAGCCTGAGAGGATGATAGTGATGCTTGCCTTCTGAGAGGCCATGGAGGTAAGGTAAAGGTAAAGGTTCCCCTTGACAATTTTTGTCCAGTCGTGTTCGGCTCTAGGGGGCGATGCTCATCCCCGTTTCCAAGCCATAGAGCCAGCATTTGTCCGAAGACAAACTTCCGTGGTCACATGGCCAGTGCGACTTAGACACTGAACACTGTTACCTTCCCACCGAGGTGATCCCTATTTATCTACTTTCATTTGCATGCTTTCCAACCGCTAGGTTGGCGGGAGCTGGGACAAGCGACGGGCACTCACTCCATTGAGAGGATTCGATCTTACGACTGCTTGGTCTTCTGACCCTGCAGCACAGGCTCCTGCGGTTTAGCCCGCAGCGCCACCACGTCCCCATGGAGGTAGCAGCACACAAAGCCATGGTGACCATTCTGTCTCCATTTGGGGAAAATACCCAAGTTCCATGCAGCAGAAGAAACTGGGGAACCTCAAATTCAGCAGGACTTGATTGCCATATTTTGAAATCAAGTGAGCAATTCACATTATTCCTAGGGCTTCACGCTTGGTTACAAATCCAGTCTGCCTGATTCAGAACAATTGGCAAAGGGTTCGGATCAAAGTGAAGTGGCCAGGTTTGGTTCTGCATATCAAGTCAAGTGAATTTACACTTCATTTTGGATCCAGGGTACAGATCACATGGGATGGGTCATAAATTATTTCAACTAACTAGCATTTAATTCCACCCCCTTCTTAAAGCTAAGTTTAAATCTACCAGTTAAGAAAGCCACTGAAGCTAAATGTCTGCAATTTGGCAGTTTTTCCTTTCTTTGTTGAGCTCTATCTGGATCTGGAAATTTCATGTATATCAATCCAAAACCAATGGAAGCATTTGGCTTTGATTTAGTGAAATGTAAGAGAGAAAAAAAGAATGAAATTTCATAGCCTCTTGAACTCCACCTTCTTCCCAAGTACATACTTTAAAACAAAGTGAAAAGTTCAGATTGCCTTTTTTAAAAAAAGATTTAAAATAATCTAATTTTTTCTTACGAATAGAATAAGTGGCATTATATTTTCTGTAATTTTTCTCTTGCTGAGATACGTTCCTATATCTGCCATTTTAGTTTCTGCGATGCTGAGAGCAATAACGAAGTGAGGGGGCACTCCCCCCTCCATGGAATTGTTGCTGATTTTCAGCTCTTAATAGCTGAATTGGATTGTGGGGCTTGGCCTTCATTTTGGGGTGAGGTATAGCCATCTTTATAGAATTACAGAATCATAGGATAATTGAGTTTGAAGAGGCCTATTAAGCCATCAAGTTCAACCACCTGCTCAATGCAGAAATCCAAATCAAAGTAGGTTTGATAGATATCCCATCTTCTCTTGAATGCCTCCAGCGTTGAAGCGTCCACCACCTCCCGAGGTCATTGGTTCCATTGTCGTACCACTCTAACAGTTAAAAAGTTTTTCCTGACATTCAGCCTAAATCTGGCTTCCTGTAACTAGAGCTCATGATGGTTATGTGTCCTGCACTCTGGAATGATGAAGAACAGATCCTGCCTCTCTTCTATAGGACTACCTGCTTTAAAGAACATCTTTTCTCTTGTAGAACAGATCCTGCCTCTCCTCTATAGGACCACCTGCTTTAAAGAACACATTTTCTCTTGATTTCTGTGTGAAAGTGTAGCCTCTTCTTTCAGCTGACGTCCTGCTGGTTTTATTGCTGTCCTCATCATATGATGCCAGAGTTGGTGTTATTTCTGATTGCACTATTTCTCTAAACCAGCTAGTTGAATCATAGCCTAGTTTTGTATTGGATTGCACAATCGCATTGTAGGAAAGGGGAACATTTCAATCTGTATAGTATGATATCATGGTTACTGACACTACCTTGTTGCAACATTTCTTCCCGTAAGGAAAAAGCTGCTTTCTGCCAATCTCTGCCCGTCAGTGGAAAATAAACTGCTGACAATTTACTTTCTAAGATGGACTTCAATGTCACTGTTGGGTACGGTGTGGCCGAAACTGATTGTTATGTGTTCCTTTTCCCTTTAAAAAAAAGGTCCCAGGATTGGTAGTGCTGGAGTAGGGATGGAGTCATAAAGGTGATGGTGGACCAGATGCTCTTGATAGGCTGCTGACCATCGGAGATTGGATCCTCTCAATTTCCCAGGTGAAGCTCCAGGGAAGCTTTTCCCTCTGGCCCTTCTGGAAACCAAGCACCCCCCTTCTTTCCTTGAGAAAAGGGTGGGGAGTAGAGACAGACACGAACAGGAAAAATGGTAACCATGACCCACGAACTACCACGAATCCCCCCAATGAACTGTTTGCAGTTTGTTCTTCAGGTCCATGCAGATCTGGCTTCAAGAATCAGCTCCTTGAAGCCAGATCTGCTGCCTATATGCATGTAAGATAAAGGTTCCCCTTGACATTAAGTCCAGTTGTGTCCAACTCTAGGGTTCAGTGCTCATCCCCGTTTCCAAGCCATAGAGCCAGCATTTGTCCGAAGACAGTTTACATGGTCATGTGGACAGCGCGACTAGACATGGAACGCCATGACCTTCCCACCGAGGTGGTCCCTATTTATCTACTTGCATTTGCATGCTTTCGAACCGCTAGGTCGGCAGGAGCTGGGACAAGCGAAGGGAGCTCCCTCCGTCGCGTGGATTCGATCTTACGACAGCTGGTCTTCTGACCCTGCAGCACAGAGGCTTCTGCGGTTTAACCCGCAGCGCCATCACGTCACACTGTATGCATGTACCTCACGTCAACTGAGCAGTGGGCGAATGCGCACTGGTAGCAGGGCCAGCTTCTGTGCAAGAAGCCAGGACTACCACCTCTCAGGGTGATGATGGCAAACAGTGGCGGCAGCTTCAAGACAAGGCAGAGAGGCAATGGAATCTTACAACAGCTGGCCTTCTGACCCTGCAGCACAGAGGCTTCTGCAGTTTAACCCGCAGCGCCACCACGTCACACTGTATGCATGTATCTCACATCAACTGAGCAGTGGGCGAATGCGCACAGATAGCAGAGCCAGCTTCTGTGCAAGAAGCCAGGACTACCACCTCTCAGGGTGATGATGGCAAACAGTGGTGGCAGCTTCAAGACAAGGCAGAGAGGCAATGGAGGGGCGGGCATCCCATTATGTCAAAGCAAAACGAAGCACTGAAGGGGAAAAAACATTTAATGCTTTGTTTCTTTTCGGCAAAACAGGATGCCTGAACCAACTCCCTCCCGGCTTAGAAATGTTGGACTTGGGTCCCTGGCTGTAGAGACAGAGGCTTGGAGTTCAAATTCTCACCGTTTGTCCCAGAAGAGCCAGCCTGCATAGTTTTGGGCAGGCTGCGTAGTCCCAGTCGTGTGGGCACGAGAGGCTTCTGCCCATACCAATCTCACAAGAGCATGGATATTGTTGAGTTTGCATCGCACAGTAAAACATTCATAGTTCCACTACAAAAGTGGGGAGATGGCTTGAGCACAGATGGAGGAAATATCGCTGCAAATATGTCCAAACACAGCTTTGAGCCTATTATTGGGCCTACTCTGTGGCGATACGGCTGGCGGGACATCAACATTTCTCCAGTCGTATTGCTATTACAAGTGGTCCGGGAACTTCTTCAGCCTAATGGTTTGGTGGAGGTCCCGGACTGCTCAGTGGCTCACTGTAATGAATTTGTTGCAAACTTTGAGGGGAAAATTGCTCAGATTCGCAAAGTGTTGGACTCCACTGTTGATGCAGAGCCTGTGCTTGTGTCCAGTGCTCCGGACTTATGTCATAATTTATTGGATGAGTTTCAGTTGTTATGACCTGAGGATGTGGACAGGGTGCTTGGATCAGTTCGTGCCACCACTACGCAACTTGACCCTTGCCCATCATGGCTAATAAAGGAATCGGCTCTGCCGGGGGGGGGGGTTGCACCTGGATCCCGGAGGTCATCAATTCCTCGTTAAGAGAGGGAATGGTCCCCACCCCATTAAAGGAGCCAGTGATTCACCCAATCCTAAAAAAGCCTAATCTGGACCCAAGTCTAGGGATCAACTACCGACCAGTGGCAAACCTCCCTTTTCTTGGCAAGGTGTTGGAACGTGTGGTAGATGAGCAGCTCCAGGCTCTCCTGGATGAAATGGATTATCTAGATCTATTTCAATCAGGTTTCAGGCTGGGTTGTGGGATGGAGACCGCCTTGGTCTCCCTGTTTGACAACCTTTGCCGGGAGAGAGACAGGGTGTGTGTGACCCTGTTGGTTCTCTTGGACCTCTCAGTGGCTTTTGACACCATCGACCATGGGGTCCTTCGGGAGAGATTGGCTGAGATGGGAATGGGAGACACTGTTTTATGATGGTTCAGTTCCTACCCTGGCTGATCAGGTCCAGAAGGTGGTGCTGGGGGACAGTAGCTCTGATCTATGGCGGTTGTGTCATGGGGTTCCTCAGGGCTCTATACTGTCCCCCATGCTGTTCAATACCCACATAAAACCGCTGGGGGAGGTTGTTAGGAGGTTTGGGCTGAGGAGTCAGCAATATACTGATGACACCCAGCTCTCTCATTCTATACCAATCCAAGTGTGGACTCGATAATTGACTGGATGAGGCTCAATCCGGACAAGTCAGAAGTGCTGCTGGTAGGTGCTCCACCAGATAGGTTAAAGGGCCATTTCCCTGCCTTAGACAGGGTTACACTCCCCCAAATGAGAGAGTCCACAGCTTCGGGGTGCTCCATGACCCAGGTCTGAATTTGGAAGCCCAAGTGGACTCGGTGTCCAGGGGTGCCTTCTTGCAGCTGCAGAGAATATATCAACTTCGCCCTTATCTGGATGAGCGGAGCCTGGCAACAGTCACACATGCACCGGTAACAACCAGACTGGACCATTGCAATGCGCTATACGTGGGGCAGCCTTTGAAGTTGGTCCGGCAACTCCAACTGGCACAGAACCGGGCAGCACGGCTGGTAAGTGGTGCCACCACGTGGACTGGTATCACGCCAAAAAATTTACACTGGCTGCCGAAACCTAAAGGACCGCCTTCTTCCATACGAGCCTGCTGGTACTCTAAGATCAGGCCAGGAGGCCCTTCTGAAGGTGCCATCCCTGAAAAAGGTGAGGGGGGATGACATGCCAAAATAGAGCCTTCTCGGCTGTTGCCCCCCAACTTTGGAACATCCTCCCTATAGAGATCTGCCTGGCACCAACCTTTTTGGCTTTTTTCGGCACCAGGCAATATCCTTTCTGTTTAGCTAGCATTTTAATTAAATAGTATCCTTCAGCTGGCCATATGAGCCGTGGGATTTATTAATATTAATGTTTTAATGACTGTGTTAATATAGGGTATTATTATAATATTGCCTATTTTTAATGGTTTTAATGGTTTTTTAAAGTTTTAATATTGTTGTACGCCACTCAGAGACCATTGGTAATGGCGCAGCTACAAAAATCTTCTAAATAAATAAATAAATAAAAAAGAAAAACATTATCCCTCATTACGTTAAAATAGTAATGAAATCCTCTAGGCAGAGCAGAACCAGAGGTGAGATTAGAAGGTGAGGGAATCGTGTGCTGTTCTTTTTCAAGGGCTACCATGTTTGCACAAACCACTAGAAAAAATAAACCCTTCTCTCCTGGTACTCAGCTAGTTTGTAGCGTTTATAACTAAGAAACCTTTTATGGGATTAACACGCAAATCTAATCTCTTAAGGGGACAGAGATACTGAAAACAGGGCCATTGTAACCCTCAGGTGGTTTCTAAACGTTTTGGTACCTTGTTCCTTTTAAAAAAATCTTTGGAACACCCTAACCCTACTCCACCTCTTCTTTGCCATCGTCCAACGCCCTTTTAAAGAAGAAGAAGATGAGGAAGAGGAAGAAGAAGACATGGTCAATATTGAATTAAAAATAACCGTGGAGACAAATACCCAAGTAAAAACTATTTTAATTAAAGACAAGAGTGCCAGTAAGAAAGACTTCTAGTTTATGAGGTTAAGATGGAAGCTCCTTGTTTTAGCACACATCCAGTCATAAAAGCCACAGTTTTGCTCACCTTGTGGTTTGTAGGGAGGGTTGGAGAAAAAAAAAAAGAGAGAAATAAGACCTCTTCTGGGGGAAAAGGATGGTGGGGATTGAGAAATCATTTCTCTCATTTGCATACACTGGGAGTCACTTCTGCTTCTTCGCCTTAAGAGCCCCTTGCTTGACAGCAAGCATCGAGAGACCGGGATCTGCCTTTGGGGTCAGGTAAGAGCAACCACGAGGGAAAGTGATGGCTAACATTTTCCCTTTTGTATCAGGGTGCAAAAGAGGGTTGGGGCCGTACCACCTTTAGAAGTGGAGAAGAGGGGAATCGGGCAAAACAGAGACAAGCTATGCCAGGCAGCCGGTACCATTCCTTCTGCCGCAAAGGTTAAAGTCAACAAGACTCCTTTCTCCCTTTCAGACTGTCTTGGAGGGAGGGGGAGCTCTATGCTTCCAATGATTTGGAGGGAAATGCCAGAATCTCAAAGATCTCCATGGTATCTTGGGAGCTTGATCAGTCCATAAGGTTGCTTCTTGTGAGCTGAATGTCCTTCCTTCCTTCCTTCCTTCCTTCCTTCCTTTTTGGTATAACTTTGGAAGAAAACACATGAAAAAAGACAGAAATAATATGCGTCGTTGTACTTGTTAGGGTGCTAAGACTTGAGTTCAAGTCTCCCCTCCACTCTGTGAGGTTCACTGGGTGGCTGCGGGTCATTGGTCTCGTTTGCTCTGCCTATTTGACTTCGCAGGATTTTTGGGAAGGCAAAATGAGCCAGTTAAAGAAAGAGAAGGAAATCCTTGTGTTATTTCCTCATAGGATGGGAACAATAAAAAATGGAATAAATTGGTAAATTCTGTGGGGGGGCAATCAGATGGCTGGAAAATGTTGCTTTGCTCTACTCTAAATGACCCTCTAGTATGGGAAGGAATTGCTCCAGCCCTGGCACCCAAAAGTAGAAGCCCATAACGGGACCAAACAGGTGGGACCTAGATCAGGGTTGGGTTGGAGCACAATTCCTTCCAAAATGTGTGGTCGCTAGGAAATAATGTAGATTGCACTGGATCACTCCACAATGGGCCCTAGATGGGATCTGTTTCCCTGTGGGATCACACAGACTCTCCCTGCAGTTCAATGTGTTGGTACCGTGATTTATTAGGCTAGGTCTGAGCTAACTCAATGCATAGCTATTAAGGATAGAAAGCTTGCTTTTATTTCTTTTTATGTGTGCCTATATACCGTATCAGGTTGCATAATATTATCAACAACAACAACAAAATAAGAATAAGAATAAGAATAAGAATAAGAATAAGAATAAGAATAAGAATGATGATGATGATGATGATGATGATGATGATGATGATGATGATGATGATGATGGTGGTAGTAGTAGTAGTAGTAGTAGTAGTAGTAGTAGTCAACACATTGAACATAACACAACAGACATAGTAGCAATAGAATGAAAAAAGGTCTGGATCCTTGACATTGCAATTCTGGGGATGCCAGAGCTGAAGATAAAGAACTGGAAAAAAGTCAGTAGCAGATCTCAGAAATCACACCATCAGAGCTACAAAAAAAAAGAGAGGCAATATTAGGAACAGCATACATCCTGCGATATTTAAGAGATAGGTTTTGGTTTAAACTTGTATCTGTTATATAATACCAGTCAATGTTTTTATAGTTTCACGCAAGTGAAAAGGAGGAAACAACACTGACGTTCATTTCGGATGGATTACTTCCATATGTCCAAAGGCTGCATGTTGTGTCCCCTTGGATCTCGGGGACTTCAAGAAACTCCAACTCCTCCCCATGGTCATCACGTTTCATGGCCCAGAGAGGAAGATTTTACTACGGTGTTTTGGGGAGCTTTCTCAGCTTATTTTAAATGGGGAACGGTAACTTTTATTACAACAGGAAATGGCCCAAAGCCACTGCATCCGATTTATTAAGGAAGGAACTTCCATAAATTCAAATCCATTTTCTTATGTGCAGAGAGCACTATATTTAAGGCACAGTATAAGAAATCACTTCGGTTGAGGGTTTAGCTGGTAATGTTAGAAAGGGGAAGAAAGATCTCAAAACGTAGGCAGTTCTACATGCCTGCTTACAGTAAGGGGACAAGGAATGGTGGCCCTCTGCAAGCTGGGATCACACCTCCCTTGAGCCTATGCCACTGACCACTGTTAGTGAAGGATGATGGAACTTGTAATCCAGCAACATCAGGATGGCCATGTGTTCCTTCACCCTTGGACGTATGCGTTGAGAGGATGTTGCCACAGTATTGTTGTTTGGGAGGAAGTTGCAACAGTCTTGCTGTTTGCCGGCAGCTCCTGTTTTGCTAAGAACAAGGCTGTATGTGGAACAATGAGCGATACCCACGTCTCTCTTGTTTTAGGATACAGTTCTCATAATTTTAGCAGTTGTCATCGGACAGACAGACAGACAGACAGACAGACAGATAGATAGATAGATAGATAGATAGATAGATAGATAGATAGATAGATAGATAGATAGATAGATAGATAGATAGATAGATAGATTATAGTAATCACAGGAAAGATGTGGGCAGTCCAGACTGAGAGTTTAGGAGGCAGCATCCTGTTAGGTCGATCAATCCCAAACTCAGCTCACAATTTTGTGTGTGTGTGTGTAAGGGATCCTAAAAATTCACTTTTATTGGTTGGCCCCCTGTTTTTGTTGTTGTTGTTATATGCTATTAAGTTGCCCCCCAACTTTAGGTGACCCCCATTAATGAGCGGCTTCCAAAATGTCCTCAACAGCCCTTTATAAACTCAACCCTGTGGCTTCCTTGAGGGAGTCAGTCCATCTTGTATTTGCTCTTCCGCTTTCTCACTATTATTGTCTTTTCCAGCGAATTCTGAGTTATCAGGACACACACAAAGTGAGACAGGCTGAGTTTGGTCATGTGTGCTTCCAGAGAAAGTCCTGATCTGATCTGATCTAGGAGTTTGGTCATGTGTGCTTCCAGAGAAAGTCCCGATCTGATCTGCTCTAGGAGCCGCTTGTTCGTCTTTCTGGCAGTTCAGGGTATTCAGAAAGTTTTTCTCCATCTCTCTTGACAAGCCCTTCTTGTTCGTCTTTCTGGCAGTTCAGGGTATTCACAAAGCTTTTCTCCATCTCTCTTGACAAGCCCTCGTAGGTGGGAGAAGTTGATATTTGTGGTCCCAGTCTTCTGAACCAACGTCTTCTGGAAGATGAAATCTTTAAAAAGGAATTATTGCGAAGTGCCAAGCCTGTCCCTAAGCGCCACTAGTGTTTCTGCTTACTTAAATAAGCAGAGGTGCAACTTTGTTCCATAGCAAGTTATGCGGTTAAGGTTGGGTAATCTATTGAGAAAGCAGGCCAGAGGGGGAGTGAGGGGCCGCAATGTCCCCCTTGGCTGCCAGAGGACAAAAGGTGAGAAGAATTTTCCAGTAGTGCTGTACAGCGTGATGGGTAAACATGTTTGCTGTTTTGAAACACAGGACACTTTTGGCCCAGCTAAGCCCTGAATGCTCGGAAAGTCTTCAGCATGGCTTTGTGAAGGAATTGGGGAATGTCAGAGATGCCTCCCCATTCAGTTCTAGGACATGTTTGTTTTTATTATTTTTTTTAAGAATATAGGTGGAAATCCAGTGACTTAGCATAGAAAATCACTACCAGACTAAACCTGTTGAATCAATGGGAGTTATTGAGTGGTGGACTCACCCTACTGATTTATTGAGCTTACTGTAGTTACAACATCTTATGCTAAGCAACAGGATTTTAGCAAGAATAGTAAAATTATGCACACAATAGAAAACCCACTTTATTTTCCATTTCCAACCACCCATCTCTTGCTAAAAATGAATGCCATGATTTGACCTAATCCAACGTTGGTTTCAGACCCCTTGCAATAAGCGAAACTTTAAGAACATTGTGAATCCCATTGATTTTCATGGGTCTCCTCTAGATGAAACTGAAGTTGGATTTTAAAGTAGTGTCAGACTAATCCACCTGTTATCAAGTCTTTGTCAATAAGATTGAGAAAGACATTCCAATCCACACCACCAGGAGATGGAATCTGAAAACTACCTTCTGAGTCCACAACCCCCATTTTGAAACTTGGTTTTAACCAAGGAGACTCGCTCGGACATCTGGCCATGATTTTTGAAACTTTGGTGTCTTGCTGTACCACCCAGAGCTCTGTGGGTGATCAGCTTCATGGAGACCCCATTTTGAAACTTGGTTTTAACCAAGGAGACTCGCTCGGACATCTGGCCATGATTTTTGAAACTTTGGTGTCTTGCTCTGTGGGTGATCAGCTGTAATGGTCAAAACCTGTTTTTTTAGTGGTCTGTGTGTGCATGCTTGGCCTGGAAAAAAGGTGAAGAACCAAGGACATAAAGATGGAGACCAGCAGGACAAGAGGAATGAGAGAGCAAGGACACAAAGATGGAGACCACCAGGACAAGAGGAACTATGGGACTTTATATTTCTGGCTATAAGCCCTCATTGTGAGAAATACAACTCTTGTGAACTTTTTGAACGATAAGAGAGCAAGGACACAAAGATGGAGACCACCAGGACAAGAGGAACTATGGGACTTTATATTTCTGGCTATAAGCCCTCATTGTGAGAAATACAACTCTTGTGAACTTTTTGAACGATACTTTCAGTAAATTGACAAAAACCATCTGCTGCTAAGGAGCAAACTCGATAGTAAATTGACAAAAACCATCTGCTGCTAAGGAGTAGAGCAAACTCGATTAAGAAGACCCTGGTAGAGGATTCTCCAGAGCAAGCACATTCCACAGTTGTCCACTAGTGATGGAAGACCCATTAAGCGTAAATAAAAGCATTCTATACTTTACAATAGGTGATATAAACCATATATTTAGGGGGAAACAAAGGAGCATCTAATGTGCATGCTCAGCTAGCAACCTGCCCCAAAAGAATATAAAAGGAGGGGTCTGGGCAACTATAATTTTTCTGCTGAGATCAAAGGCTTTTGGAACCAAGTACCATATTTTTCCATGTATAAGACGCCCCCATGTATAAGACCCCCCACTTTTCTAATCCAAAATTAAGAAATCTAAGTAAGGCTCAGCAAGTGTAGGGGGGAAGGGATAAAAGCGCTGCAGAATTGCTTTGATCCCTGCTTTCCCCTCCACTTGTTTTTGTTCTCTCCGCAGCTTACTTCCGTGTATAAGACGACCCTCAATTTTCAGTCTAAAGATTTTAGACAAAAGTATAGTCTTATACACGGAAAAATAAGGTACTTTCTTTGGAACTTGGATGGTGCAAATCAAAAATTCTTCTTTCTTTGGTGAGTTTGTACATGGCGTGAATGTGTTGAATGCATGAAGCCCCTTTTATTAGAATTGTAATCAATAAGTAATAAACTATATTCATTTTGCATTTATTAATGTGTCTTGTGAGCTCCTTTGCTGTTTAATATATATATGGTATAGTTCTTACTTGGGATACAAAAGATCGAGTAGTCATCTTTTGTGTTAGCCTATATCTGAACTGGCTGGCTGGTTCAGTGGTTTAGGCATCTGGTTGTGGAACTAGTGGTGAGGAGTTTGAATCCACCTGTATGCTTCTTGTGAATAGAGCCAGCCTGTATGGCCTTGGGCAAGCTGCACAGTAGAAGAGCACCCTCAGAAGAAGGGAATGGCAAACCACCTCCAAATATTCTCTATCTGGAAGACCCTGAAAAAGAGTCTCCATAAGTCAGAATTGACTTGACGGCATTAAAGATATCATTTACCCTTGGCTACCAATTGTGTACAGGGACCACTTTTTTCTTTCTTGCTTGCTCTACTGGTTATCAGTTTCTCCACAAATTATTCAGTGATGAAAAAGCCCATTATGTAGTCCAATTCATTACCCCTAAATTACAGCCTTTATTGGTGTTGCGTGCTAGGAAACATAATCCCCAAAAGTACCTATGCCTTATTCTCTAAGATGATTATTCAAGCACTCATCCTGTTCCTCTTGCTTTCTTTTCAGCCATAAAAGGGAGAAGACACAAGTAAAAAAGTCTCTGCCACAGGAAATGGAGATCACGACCGTACCTACAGTTCTTCATGCTGACCCCCTTAATTTTACTGACCAAAATGAAAACGATGAGTACGCCAAGATGTACCTTTTGTGGAAAACAATGAACATTGTCTCAATAGTAATCTACAGCATTGCTTTTGTGTTGGGAGTTGCAGGAAATGGGCTGGTCATTTTCATCACCGGCTTCCGGATGAAGAAAACAGTCAACACGGTGTGGTTCCTGAACCTGGCCATTGCTGACTTTACCTTCACCCTCTTCCTGCCCTTCAGCATCGCTCACGTAGCCTTGGAGTTTCATTGGCCACTTGGCTTGGCCATGTGCAAACTCATCAGCGCCTTGACCTTCGTCAACCTCTACGCCAGCGTCTATCTCCTGGTGGTCATCAGCATAGACCGCTGCATTTTTGTGAGGCATCCTGTGTGGGCTCAGAATCATCGGACACCCCGGCTGGCTTCTTTTGTGGCCTTGTGCATTTGGATCATGGCTTTGGTGTTATCCTCTCCAGTCATCTATGTCAAAGATACAGCCCCAAGTCAGGACATTCCAGATGCAATTGACTGCTACAGCAATTATGGGGACACCAAGGAAAAAAGATGGCTGATGCACCGTGCAATACTCATCAGCCGTTTCATCCTTGCCTTTGTCATCCCCTTCTGTGTCATTGTCGTGTGCTATGGGGCAATTGTTCTGAAGCTGAGAAGAAACCGGTTGAATCACTCAACCAAGCCCTTCAAGGTCATCACAGCAGTGATTGTAGCCTTTTTTGTCTGTTGGTTCCCCCATTATGTCTTCTCTTTCCTCGAGACAAGAGCTGATGCGCAAGAACTGCACTTAGTGTTTCTCATTGGTGTTCCCTTGACCTCTAGCTTGGCTTTCATCAACAGCTGTCTCAACCCCTTCTTGTATGTCTTCATGGGGCATGATTTCAAGGAGAAAGTGAGGCGCTCGCTCTTCTCTGCCTTGGAGAATGCTTTTGCTGAAGATATCAGCCATAGCACTGCAAGCACCAAGGCCAAGTTTTCACTTGAGTTGGAATCCAAGGATTGTAGTCAGTTCTGAAGCTGTCTTGTTTAGCCTTCTGATCAATACAGGAAAAAACAGAACTAAAGCATCCTCAGCTAATGATTGTCAAGCTATGTTTAAAGACCCCCCAGGGAAAGACAGACTATGATGTTCTTGACCAGTGGTGGCCAATCATGGGTCCCCAGATGTTCTTGGGCTAAAACTCCCAGAAGCTATCACCACTAGCTGTGTTGGCCAGGATTTCTGGGAGCTGTAGTCTAAGAACATTTAGGGACCCAAGGTTGGGAACCACTGGTTTAGACAATTGCCTCCATTGTTGAACTACTTTTAGTATCAGAGATTTCTCTTCATGTTCTACCAAAATATAGTCCGCTAGCATGATTTCAAGGAGAAAGTGAGGCGCTCCCTCTTCTCTGCCTTGGAGAATGCCTTTGCTGAAGATATCAGCCATAGCACCGCAAGCACCAAGGTCAAGTTTTCACTTGAGTTGGAGTCCAAGGATTGTAGTCAGTTCTGAAGCTGTCTTGTTTAGCTTTCTGATCAATAAAGGAAAAAACAGAACTAAAGCATCCCCAGCTAATGATTGTCAAGCTATGTTTAAAGACCCCAGGGAGAGACAGATCATGATGTTCTTGACCAGTGGTGGCCAGTCATGGCTCCCCAGATGTTCTTGGGCTAAAACTCCCAGAAGCTATCACCACTAGCTGTGTTGGCCAGGATTTCTGGGAGTTGTAGTCTAAGAACATTTAGGGACCCAAGGTTGGGAACCACTGGTTTAGACAATTGCCTCCATTATCAGAGATTTCTCTTTATGTTCTACCAAAATATAGTCCGCTGTAGCTTAGGCTGAATGGAGCTATCCTTGCTTTCTGGCCTGGTGAATATGTCACCTCAATGTGCTTTGAAGAAATGTGTTCCAGAAAAGTCTCATTGAATGATAAGAGTTCGACGAAGCTTTGTCAGATACTACGTTACATCCTAGTAGTTCTGAAACCAGTTGTATTGGCTCTTGCCTTTCCATTGGACTATTTCATTGATGTGGAGAGGGGGGATTTGCTGCTTGGGTAACAGCCTATCCTCCATATTATTTTAGCAAGGCTTTGTGCCCTGGAAAGGACACTCCAACTTTGCATGCCACTAGCTGTGTTGGCCAGGATTTCTGGGAGTTGTAGTCTAAGAACATTTAGGGACCCAAGGTTGGGAACCACTGGTTTAGACAATTGCCTCCATTATCAGAGATTTCTCTTTATGTTCTACCAAAATATAGTCCGCTGTAGCTTAGGCTGAATGGAGCTATCCTTGCTTTCTGGCCTGGTGAATATGTCACCTCAATGTGCTTTGAAGAAATGTGTTCCAGAAAAGTCTCATTGAATGATAAGAGTTCGACGAAGCTTTGTCAGATACTACGTTACATCCTAGTAGTTCTGAAACCAGTTGTATTGGCTCTTGCCTTTCCATTGGACTATTTCATTGATGTGGAGAGGGGGGATTTGCTGCTTGGGTAACAGCCTATCCTCCATATTATTTTACTGAGGCTTCGTGCCCTGGAAAGGACACTCCAACTTCGCATGCAGTGTCAAAACACTAGACTCTGTTCCAAGTCCTCCATACAAAGCACGTTACCATAGTCTCTCGAGACTGAAGGATGCCTATGATGAAAGGCACACAAGACCCATATCAGCCTGCCAGTCCATTGAATAGAGTGTAGAAAATTCAGGTGTAAGAAATATGACTCCCAGAATAACTTGGGGAACTACATTACAGAAAAGGTAACTCTTCCATGTTTTTGCCACCCAGAGTGTAACCTGAAGTTTTTCTTAGCATCTGTTTTACTCAAAGTGCGGCCATGATGACCAGAAAGAGGGACTTGTAAGTGGTGGCTCCTCACTTTTGTAATGACTCACCTGTGAAAGCTTCTTGGACCTTCACTATCACCTGGTCAACAACTTCTATTCTTTTCACGCTTAGATGGACTACTGGTTTTAGCAGTGCAAAGTTGGGGCCAATTTTAGTCCTAATGTCCACTCTAAAGAAGTGTTGCAGTTTTAATTTGTGATGCTAAAGGCAAGCCCTGCATTACTTTAGTTGTGTATCTTGCAGTCAAGAGATTTTGAAAATCAATGTAAACCTTAATGTATGCATCCATGCATTCACTTGTGCCACTCAGTTTTTACTGGAATGGTGGCATTTAGATAGGGTGGATTTAACACTTTGCTCCTTGACCATAAACACAGTGTAATCACTTCTGCTCTTCAGTTAGCATTATGGCGGAGATACCCCTCCCATTCAACGGAGGCTTGTTGTGATTCCGGGTGATCAACCTGATCTGGGTTTTTATCTGAACTTCATAGAGTGCTCCAAGGGGCTGAACTCCATCCTCAAAACAGGTTTAGTCCCTATACCAGTGGTTCCCAACCTTGGGTCCCCAGATGTTCTTGTACTACAACTCCCGGAAACCCTGGCCTGAACAGCCAGTTTGGGGATCCACAGTTGGGAACCGGTGACCTAGACTCCCTCCTTTAAATTCCAGACTAAACTTGGAATGAATGTAACACCCGCCTGCAGCATCAGAATCAATAGCATCCATTGGTACCCTATTTGTAGCTTGACTCCTTTTTTCATATGTTTTGTTCTCATGCAGCCACTTAATGTGTGTTTGTCGGAACAGACAGAACTTTCAGCTGAGGATATAATCATGTAGATAAAGAAGCCCTACGTAACCCTGCAAAACGCATGCACCCCTAAGACTGTGGCTAGACCACGGATGAAGCTAAGAGGCTTGAAATTCCAGGTCAAAGTTTGCCATGAAGAAACTGGTCTTAGAGAAAAGAGGGTAGGAAGGAACCAGTCATAGGGTGTGACCTCAGTACAGGGGTTCTCAACCTTGGGTCCCCATAGACCCAACTTAGACTACAATGCCCAGAGATGAAGGCTGCTGGGAGTTTTCATCCAAGAACATCTGGAGACCCAAGGTTGGGAACCCCTGCCTTAGTTTATAAAAACATAGAAAAAAAGCATGTGGAAATAACTGACTTTGCAAACATGAATGCGTGAGCTACACGTGAGGAAAAGGGAAAGAGGAAATTAGGGTTAAAAAAAAGGAAGACATTTGTGACATACCCTCTTTCACTAGTTTTGTCCCTGCGTCTTCTGCTCAGAACGCTGAGGGAAAAGGGTAGCCTTGCTGAGGAGTGATGGAATTGTTTTGCAATCTGTAGATATTTTGCTGCTTGTGGAAGAGAACCTTCTGTTGTGGACTATCAATGTGTCAAAGGAGGAAGCCTGCCTACACCAACCACTGATACACAATCTGACATCACTGTCTGTTAGCATACTGTATGCATGTTTTGCAATCTGTAGATATTTTGCTGCTCGTGGAAGAGAAACTTCTGTTGTGGACTATCAATGTGTCAACCATTGCACCAACCACTGATACACAATCTAACATCACTGTCTTTTAGCATACTGTATGCAGTACATCTGTTTTTTTCCAGTCAGCTCTGGATAATCTTTTAGGGTGATTCCTGTGGGTGATGAGAGATGAACAAGCCATCAACATCAGTGCTTGGGACAGAACAAGACGGGGGAAAGGAATTAAGGGCCTTATTCACTGGAGACTGAGCATGCTCCCCCCCCCATGACATGGTCTACTTTTGTCACATATGGAAGCAAACAAAATAATAACAGGAACTGAAACATGCAGGTGAGAGGTCCACAATCTGCAATTAACTTCAATTCTGTTTTATTAAAACAAAACACATGCCGTTTTGCAGGACAGAGTGATGTCTATGTTGCAGCATTATACACCAGATAATGAAGAGGTTCCCTTAACCCAGCAGTAACCAACTGTTCCTTCCCTGTCTCTGAATGCAGAGAGAGATCAGACTCTCTGCTAAGAGCTTTCCCCTCCTCTCTTTTATCTGTTGGGTTATTGGTTTGCTTAAAGCAGTCATGTTTTGAGTTTGCTGTTCACTGTAAGTAAATGAAAGCTTTTATTCTTTGTCCAATTAATATCTCGGAGTGAGTTATTGGGACTGGAAACACCAGTTAATGAGAAAAAGGGATGGACTGCTCTGTGGAACATGAAGCTATTCTGCTCTGTGAATTCCTACATTTCTGCTGTGCAGCTAGAGAATTCAACCAGAAATTCAAATCTCTACAACAGTTCAGTCCTTATGAATCAGGTCCAGATCCGTAGGGCTTCCAATGAGAGTATAACAGCATTCAGAAAAGACAAGGCAGATGTTTCAAAGCTAGAAAAGAAATAAGACTTCCTCCAGCCATACAGTGAGACTCCTTTGCTCCTTTTAATACCAAGAAGCAAAATAGGATATTTAAAATACATTTTTTAATCATGTGCCAACAAGTCGGTTCTGACTTATGGAGACCCTTTCCGGGATTTACTAGGTAGAAAGTAGAAGATGTTTCCTACTCCCTACTTCTGGGGATGTCCTGGAACTGTGCAGCTTGCCCAAGGCCACACAGGCTGGCTCTACTCACAAGAAGCACAACGGGGAATCAAACTTCCAACCTCTGGCTCTGCAGCCACAGATCTAAGTCACTGAGCTATCCAGTCACATTGGCAATTATAAAAGTGTACATCTTACCTTTCCCATGCTTGGTGTTCAAGATATCTAAAGGCACGGACGCAAATAGATTAGCAAATTGCAAATATTACAGAAAAAAAAGGCAAAAACAGATTTGGGGGAAATGCTTTTGGGCTACAAGTCCCAGAATTCCCCTAACCAGTATGGCTAATAACAATAGTAACTGGGTAGTTCTGGAACTTGTTGTCCCTTTTTTCTGAAACGCTAGTTAAAAGCAGATTAAAAAAAATAAAACAGCAGCTAGTTATAGGACTAGGCACCAATAGACCTCAGCAGATATAAATAGAGGACCTGAATAAATCAGAACTAT